CCGATATCCGATCCAGTAATTTAGGTCAGTATCGGACCGATACCGATACGTAATATCGGATCGGTCCATCTCTAATATATATACACAAACTCACAAATTAAGCAAGTGACCTGAAGGCCCAAAGATATAAAGGTCTGGATGACCTCTAATTTTCTGCTTTTAAATTCACCTGAAACTGAGGTTGTTTTACTCTAAATACCCTAAAACCTCATAAAAAACATGGTGCCTAGCGAGCTACTTACTTTGGATGGCATGGCCTTGGCCTCCAGGAGAGTTTTCTTTCTTGTTTTTGTACATCTCTAATAATGCATAACACATTCTGTACAAAAGAGTTTGAAAACTGGATTTAAAAAAACTATAATAAATGTAATGAACTTTTATACATTTAGGTCTTACTGATTACCAATTGTCATTTATGCTTAGAAATATTTACTCATATATACTTAGACGTATATAATCATTTGTAGATCGAAAGAATGTCTCATCCTAGGAGGTCTGTAACAACTCTGTGTAGCATGAAGAGGGGGTGCTTTCACTCCTCTACAGAGTATTCTGGCATAGATCACACACCTCCTAGGAGAGGTCGTATCTTCTCTTGCTGATATATGGTATAGCAAACACACGTATATCTGTTTGAGTGTAGGAGCCTTTTGTTTAGATGGACCGCTAGACTCCTGGCACCAGCTTTGGGGAGTCTTCACAGGGTCACATCTTGACCCCACACACACACACACACGCACACACACATACTTACACAACGCACAGGCAAGGTACTCTTTGTTTGTATGTAGATGTCTTATGTTAATGAACCTATGTATATTCATGTGAGCTCAATAAAAGAACAATGTTATGGGGGAGTGGACGAGAGCGACTGGGGTCAAGCAAAGGAACGGCGCTTGTCGTGGTTCTCTCCCTCATGCATGAGTTACACGAAGAACTTTGCCTACTTGTGTCTTGCTTTTGCTGTGTAATTAAATTGTCTTGAAAGTTCCAGCAAATAGGTTCAAACTACAAACCTATCAACCAATATAAAGACGACGCTGGAGGCACCACAGAGTTTGGATACTCTGCAAACAAAGCTTAAACTAAGTTCGAAATTTAATATATGACATTATTGAGTCATTTTACCTGAGTAGATATTCAACACGATATCAGAGAAATGATTGAAACATTTAGTGGTCTTTTAGGGCCCGGTGGCGCCAGTGTCCGGCAGCCTCGCCTCTGTCAGTGCGCCCAAGGGTGGCTGTGGCTACAATGTAGCTTGCCATCACCAATGTGTGAATGTGTGTCTGAATGGGTGGATGACTGGATATGTAAAGTGCTTTGGGGTCCTTAGGGACTAGTAAAGCGCTATATAAATACCGGCCATTTACCATTTTACTGCAACGTCTAAGCTTTTTTCAAAAATTATAGTTCTACTTTGTGTTTTTAAGCTAAATATAATATAATACAAACCTTTGAAAAAGCCTCAACATAACATAATTTAGATGGACTTCAATGAAATATTTTATTGTTTATCTTCAGCCTCGTTGTTAGCTGATATCAATGATGAAACCATTTTACCACTTCTTTTACAGAGTCACTCTGCCCCTTTGACTTTCCTCTGATTCAACAGTTACAGTCATTTAGGAACTTAGACTCTATTAAAAGTTGGATGGCTGACAACTTCCTCCAGTTTTAATGATCAAAAAACTGAAGTCCCTGTTTGTTCCCCTGACAGATTTATGCCTAAGATAATGAAAGCTCTGGGTTTTATTGTAAATCATCTCTCAGTAACATCAGTCTCTTTTATCACATAAGAAATATTGCTAAGTTAAGTCCCATTGTGTCACACTTTGAACTGGAGATTTTTATTCATGTATTTAATTCACTGTTCATTGGTCTAAGCAAAAACTCCCTGGGACATCTACAGGTTGTTGAATTTCCAACACTGCTGAGAGGCTTCTGACTAAATTTTCTAAGTACTCTCATGTCATACGTTTGCCGATCCAGCTACATTGGATACCTCAGAATTTGGGACAGGGGCATCAAAATGTTGAAGATCTGAGCGGTACTAAAAGAAAATGCTTGTGGAACGTCAGTAACATAACTGAGTATAAAAACATCACCTTAGAGAGGCAGACTTATTTAAAGTAACGATGGGCAGACGTTAATCAATTTGAAAAAACTGACTGAAAATTGCTGAACATCATCCAGGAAAACTGCCTTCTTCTCTGGGCCAAAGTACTTTAAAACTGGCTTCATAAATGCTGAAAGGTGTACGCATGTTTTACAGAAACATGTTGATAGGTTTGTAGCTTGAACCTATTCGCTGGAACGTTAAGGACAATTTGCTACACAGCCAAACAAGACACGAGTAGGCAAAGTTCTTCATGTTTCTCGTGCATGGGAGAGAACCGGACAAACGCCGTTCCTTCGCTTGACCCCAGTTGCTCTCGTCCGCTCCCCCGTAACACTGCTCTTTTGAGGTTACATGAATACACATTATTAAGGATCAAACCTCTACCAATCTAAAACTAATTATAAAACTCTAAGCATATACAAGTAGATATTTCTAAGCATAAATGATAATCAACAATACAAAACCTGACACATGTTCTCCATCATGATACTCCATAATAACATAGCTTCATATATCACCAACTGAAAAAATTTGAGTGTCATGAAGTATAAAATACAGCAAAGAAGAGCCAGGTCTCTTGAGCAGGTAGAGTCATATGTCAGAAAACATGAGAACACATTCCCCTCCAAAAAGTTCAGAATCTGGTCTCTTCTCTTTCCAGATGTTTACAGACTGTTGTTGAAGACGGGATGCTACACAGTCAAAACTTTTTAAAGATGTGTTGCTGCCATCAAATTCAAAATGACCTTATTTTTTAATCATACTTTAAATGGTGCAAATGAAGATTTGTACATCATCATATTTTGTTTTTTACTCATATTTTAAACCATAACCAACTTTTATGGAATAGGAGATATTTTCCTATTCTATTATTCTATTCTATTCCTACTACTATTAAATGTTGTTTGGGGGGGAACCGAACACTCATATAAATATAGAGGA